ACAACCATTTCTGAGAACATAATGCGCTGCTCTCTTACTCTTGCTGATTGATATCTTTAAATAAACAATTGTCCTACACCCAATTCAAGCTTAAGCATGTGCTTGTACAAACACAAATGAGGGGGTTCCTGTTTCCTGGGAGAAGTCCTCTCCCTACAGGATATCAGCTTTCTTTGTTGGTCAAAGCCAACAATGGTGACTTGTTTCTAATTATAGGAAGGTAGAGGAAATACAAGAGGATGCGGTGGAGTTGGATCATTTAGACTAGTACAATACATTTGTACAGTGCAAACACCAAAGGAATTACTTCTTATTACAGACCAAAGCAAGAAAAACAACTGTTATGTGGATTATCAGTTTAAAGGCTTTTTACAAATGCTTAGTTCATCAAAGAAGCTGCCTCTTGGAGGACAAAATATGAATGCAAAATTATGTGCATTCATTTTCAATTTTAAAATGGACACTTTGTTTGTGTGCTTAACACTTCCCTAAACCTTCTCACTGTCAAACTGAATATAATTGTCTGTCAAAGTTTTTACTTTTTATCTATAGTGTCTCGACACAAAGTCCCCTGCTGTACCAGCAGGTTTTACAAATGGAAGATCTGTCATATATCACCTTAATTCCCATACAGTAAGACAGCTGCTGATCTAAACTGCACACATTTTTCTATTCCTGAGCAATATTATAAGTACAACTCTTGAAGGAGGAAGACAAAAAGAAAGATTAGCTTCAGGCCAAAGATTTGTATCACAGGTAAAAGGATGTCTGGGCCAGCATTTTTTAAATGACTTTAATATTGAACACTATGTGTGGCAGCAAAGCTAAAATGACCATTTACCACTAGGGCTGATAAGAACCTGTACACGTTAACAGATAGGCCTATGTGTTGCAGTGCAGTGACTTTAAAAACGTTATGAGGCTCGACAGTTGCACCATATGGTACTGTGATAAATGACCTGTGTATCAACTCTCCCATGTGACCGATGCATTTATTCATCAAAGCCACAGTTGGGATGGTCAGCGATGGCAAAAAGATAGACGGAAGAAAGATGTGCAGATTAGGGTGAAAAGGGGAGAGAATAAGAATGAAAATGAGGATGTGATGAGGAAGATGAGAACACAGATGAATAAATGAAAGGAAAGGAGAACAGAAGCATGGTTCATCCATCGGGCAGGTCTTTTGGTCTGTTGGCTTTTGTGTCCTTAGAGAGGACCTGTCAAACAAACGCCACCTGGGACCGCAGCCACTCAGAATACAAAGTTAAACCAAAAATGACAGCACATTATTTTACATAATGACTTGCAGTTTCACCCAACCAAATTCTTACTTTACCTGTTCTTAAGAGAGATAAAGTAATTGGTTTTAATGTTGTCCTAAAGAGACAGTTGCCCAAAACCTAAATTAGACATTATTCCTCTTACCTATAGTGCAGGTAATAGATTCTATATATTTTGGGTGTGAGTTGCTGAGTTTTTAGAGATATCGACAACAGAGAAATCTGCCTTATCTCTCATAATATAATAAGTTGGCACTCGGCTTGTGGTGTTCAAGTCCTAGAAATCATGACCCTGTGAGTCAAGATTATCCACAGATCTTATTATGAGCAGTTTTACTAAGGAAGTATTTTCTTTCCACCGAACTTTACCCGCAAACCATTGATATTGGGATGAAATGTCCCATTAAATGTGATTTAATAAGGACCTTAAGTTATTTCCACCTGTTTTGACCAGGGGAATTACATAGAGCTAAGCTAATAATCTTTGATATCAACTATTATAACGCAGATAGCATGTCTGCTCTGGCAGCCAGCGTTATTTGTGTTAGGTGTGTGGTCTACTGCAAATGGGCAACAGATGAACGGGAAAGAGACGACAGACGGACAGGAAGGGAGGAAGAGAGAGGAGGATGGAGGGAGGACGACAGAGAATCCTTATCCACTTGATTACAGTGTGTGTGGCATCTGGACAGTTGTTTGGCTAAGGCGTGCGTGTGTGTTAAGAGCATTTGTTTGTGCCTCAGGGACACACCTGGAGTGAAGCTATGCAGCGTTTTAAGCCACTAGCACATTTCACCAGCCTTTTTCCCATGACTCCCATTCTCCCGCCCCTCAGGGCAAGTCAAAGTCTCTTCACCCACAGAGGAGCTGAGTCTATAAACAGGATTACACAGGACACACAAGTGTTTAATTCTCTGCTCAATATGAGACAGCAGCTTTGACCAATCCACTGTAATGCTCTTTTAGGAGTTTAAAGGAGTTTTAAAAATATGTTAATTGTCTTTCTTGTCGAGAATTCAATGAGAAAATGTATACTAGCTTACTTGTAAATATTGACCATTAGATATGCAGTTACGGATGTTAGCTTAGCTTAGCATAAATATATAAAGTCGCTTGGGCCATATATAGGCTACCTTCATAAACCACAACATGTCCCTTTTTTCTCTTGGACGCATGTGCAGATTGAGCAAACAACACTTAGTTTGTACATTTGTAATCTTTAGAAGTCCTGGTATGGCCAATTCGTTTACATTTTTGGACAGAGCTACTGTAAGCTTACTGGTACCCTGATGTGGTCCTCCTAATCTTAAACTATTAACCACCCTGGCTGTAGCTTCATATTTAGAGGACAGCCACTGAAGTGGTCTCAATATTCTCAACAAACTCTCATCAAGAATGTGAATAAAGTTACTTTTAACCTCAAATTATTCTTTTAAAACTAGTAATTTCTTATAATTAAAAAAACAATGTCAGCTGACTGACTGGTTATGGTTTTGAACATATTGGACAATTTGGAGACATTCGTCAAATCTAGTACAGAAGGTTGTGTACAATATTCTTTAGCCAACCTCATGACTTGAGGGGTGAGAGAAGGACATGGTTTGAAATAAGTCTTATTTAAAGATCTCTTTGGATATCTACGGAGATGTTTGTGGTAGAGAGAGACTGTGAATTGAAACGCTGCAATTTACTTTATAGTCCGATTGAAAATCTAACTTTCAGTACGAGTAAAAAGTAAAAAGTGTCATTGTGCCTTTAATATCGAAGCTCTCCGCGCAGCAGAAAAATAAATACGCACCTGCTCCGAGCGCACGGTGCGCACCACTGACACTTTTTATTCTACAAGTCAAACACATTATGAAAACGGGTTTCAGCCACGACCATGTGACAAGTCCCATCGTGAACGCGGAGACCCACAAAGGGCCCCGAGGGGTTGAAGCCGGATTGAAACCTTTTGCGCATCGGCTCTCTCTATCTCTCTCTCTCTCTCTATCGCTCTCTCTCTCTCTCTCTCTCTCTCTCTCTCTCTCTACTCTCTCATCTCTCTCTATCTCTCTCTCTCTCTCTCTCTCTCTCTCTCTCTCTCTCTCTCTCTCTCTCTCTCTCTCTCTCTCTCATCTCTCTCTCTCTCTCTCTCTCTCTCTCTCTCTCTCTCTCCCCCTCTCCCCCCTCTCTCTGAGATGAACCAGGGCGAAGGAGAGGGTTGGGACAGGGAGGACAAACTGGAAGGGGGGATGGCTGAATAACGAGGAGAGAAACACCCACTCCGGACTGACCGATTTGTATCCGGAGAGAAGGAGTGAGAGAAAGAAAGAGATTGAGGGAAAGAGTAAGAAGAAAGAGATCCCGACAGTCTTTGGTTTTCAGAGGATTTCATTTGGGGATAAGAGGTCGTTTTGAATTGATGACTTGAGAGGTAAAGACGATTTCATTCATTGTGCACGTGTGAGTGAGACGGTCTCAGGTGTGAGGTGCTGTAGTAACGCAACGACTTAACTTCACCACATTTTATATGTTGACCTTAATCTTTTTGAGAAACTTCATTTAAACAAGTCAGTATAGCATTTTGAAATGATCACTGGATACGTTGGATGTTTGGAGATGGGATCAGTGAATTAAACTTGGGCAATTTTCCAAGAATAAAATAAATGCGTGCGAAAGTCCTAAAACTGTATTCCATAAATACCCTTTAAAATCATGCACGTAGACTACTTTATTTTAATGAGGGAGGGCGACGCCTCTGCTCTGGGTTTCATTAACCAATTAGCCAGTAGCAAGGTTCCCCTTTGGACTGGGAATGAGGAAATTACGCAAATTGAAGACAATAGAAATGTAATTGCTTCAAGTGATTTAGACTTGTGTGGGTGTTAGAGGGACACTCAGAGAGAACCATTTCTGTTTAATCTTTCTCATTTCCCTCTTCAGGTCATGCACGCTGGTCTATAGCGAAAAAAAATCATTCCTATTTCCTGGAGTATTTTATTCTTATGAATATGCATTGTCATATTCTGGCCTTTTGACTTTTGAGAAGCTGGCTGTCATAATAATACAACCAGAAGGTTCCCTCTATCAGACAATGATTGAATGCTGAAACTACTTTTGTTGCACGAGCTGTTTCATTCAGTGAGTGTGTGTTTCCCAAGGAGAGATATGATAAGTGTGTCTGTCTGTGTCCATCATGGTGTGTGATAATGAGCGGCAGGCTGGAGAAAAAGGGAGACTGCAGAGAACAAAAAGTGAGGGTTGATAGAAGGAGATAGTGAGAAGAGCAGCTGTTTGTGTTTGCCCTCGCTGAACTGTCAATCAAACTGCTCTCTCCCCGTCTGTCTATCACACTGTTTGTCCTCCATCTTTCTTTCTGTCAGATACTTTGTTCACTGCTTCTCCTCTCTTCCCTCAAACAAAGTCCTCCACTGTTATTGCTCCCAAGTGTGGGCGGGAGGCTCGACCGCTGTTCTGCGGTCAGTCTAGACTCGCAAACTGCTGCTCTGTAATTGTATCAAAGTGAATATCAGACAGGAGTTAACTGACTCCAGATCAGCGTTTTGGGGTCGCGTGGGCAAGGTGGCTCTTCGACTTGCGGAGCCACTCTGCAACTGAATGGCATTCATGAAATCACTGAAATTCCCCTTTTCCTTCTTTCTCTCTGACTTTCTCTCTTGATTTTTCCCTCTGCTTTGCATTTTATCAACATAATATTCCTTCTCTTTGTGCAGGTCTAGACTGCTGGTTGTGAGGATGTTGTCCATGGGAAAGTATAGGTGGTGTTTGTTGGCTCCACTGGTGTTACTGGTCCTAGTGTCCCATTTCCCCTCAAAGGCACAGAGTCAAGGTAAGTGTTTTGTCTCTTGTCTCTTGTCTCTTTGCTCTACGCTTCTCACCTCCCATCCCACATCTATCTTCTTTCATACTCCGTTTTCTAACCCATAACATATTTCGTATATTTTTTTAATATTATTATGAAGGAAACCCAAAAAAGCACAAAATTCATTGTCCAAAAACCGTCTTATATAGCAATACACACACAAACCCTGGTTGGGGAAAACAAGTAAGAAGCTCATATTTACTATCAACATTTTATTGCTTTAAAGTCTTCCTCGATTCCCAGCTCTGCCATCCAACCTCTCCCCATGATGATTCACTCTTCTCTCCCTTCTCCCCTCACCTTTCTGCCCTCATTTATCTCCAAATATTTCTCCCATCCCTCACATGACCTCTCTGTGTCTCCTCCCCTGTTTCCACATCATTCCTCCCTCGGCAGCCTTTCCGTTTGATGTGCAGGCTCAGCCCAACACTCCTGATCATATCACCTCCATATCATCATGCCATTTCACCCTGGCAACATGGCAGTGGTTGCAACCCAGCTGCCGATGCTGCCTCGCTTCAGAGGGGGTTTAATAAACATGTTGTAAGGCTGCGCCTCAAGCTGTTATGATTTCCTAGGCGATGTGCTGCCCAATAAATAACGCTCCACTGTGCTTCACAATCAACCTCACCTCAGCTAAACTGATTACATCAAACTGAGTCTCATCACAAAATGGGAATTGTTTGTTGTGTGCAATGTTTTTGATCATTGGAGTCAAAAATCCAGTTGCAGTGTAAATGATCCACTGTGTGGCATTATCACCGTATCACGTGTCCTGCTCCTCGTCTCTCCAAGATCTGTGACTGTATTAACTTTATCAGCTTTAGAGCTTAAGCCAAACTACACATTCATATTCTCTTATTTAGTGATGTTGGAGGTTACTATTTCCTCTAAATCTGTATGATGCTTTGACTGAGAACATTCAGATTATTCAATCAAACTGATCTAAGACCTTTATTCTCAATCCAGTGTGTGTGTGTGTGTGTGTGTGTGTGTGTGTGTGTGTGTGTGTGTGTGTTGTGCCTCCATTTGTCGGAGTGTGTGTTTGCAATTGGCAGGCTCATGAATGTAATGGATCAGACCTACTGTAGTTATCTGGATAGAGATCATATAAAAAAGAGCCCAGGAGACACTTAAAAAGATTAAGCTGACCCTGGTGTGTGTGTGTGTGTGTGTGTGTGTGTGTGTGTGTGTGTGTGTGTGTGTGTGTGTGTGTGTGGTGTGTGTGTGTGTGTGTGTGTGTGTGTGTGTGTGTGTGTGTGTGTGTATGTAGGTGTGTGTGCGTGTGTGTGGCTCACATTCCTTCCAGGATGTGGTGTTAGAGAAGCAGGGAAGCAGCATGTCTTCTTTAAATGAACAAACACTACACATACAATTCAACCAAAGATTTTTTTTCTTCTCTCTTTGTATTTGTTCAAAAATCAATCATCTAGAAACCTGATTGGATCTGTGTATGGCTGCCTTGTGTTTATTTACCACAGTGTAAGTCCTTACTAAACAGCAATTGCTTTCAAATGAAAGAAGGTGTTTTCTTTTTCTCTTCAGTTAATTTTCTCTGAGAACCTTTTTTTTCAATTCCCACGTTCTGTAGGTTACGTTTTTCATTGCAGAAACTCGAGATGAGACAGAAGTGTGGCAGCATACATTTAGCTGGGATTTGATCCCAGTGAATCACAGCAGAACATGGACCACCTCCCAGACATGGTGGGAGTGTGCCCTGCTCAATCCCTTCATTAGGGTGCATGTGATGGACATTCATTTGTGCTTGGCCCTGTAAACTGCAACATCTGGTCAGATGGGATTTGAGCTGGAGGATTAGTGTGTGGTATACCAATGGAGAATGTTTGTATACACAACAAATGTCTGGGTATTGCCAGGAACTAGCCTACCATTTCCATTGAGTGGGTCAGTTCATTTTCCGCAAGAAATTACTAATGAAGAAACATATCTGGCAATTATTCTTAACAAGCTATGAATAAGCTAAGTTAAGTCAAAGAACATTTCTTGATGGTGCATAATTTCACCCTAATCAAGAAATCGTGATTGTCATTGAGCAATTGTTCTTATTTTATAAAAATACCCTTCATATTTATTTTGGTAAATATGTGAGAGGGAATTTCAATTGAATTGATAAGCAATCTTCGGAAGCCAGTGATTATTTTTCATTATTTTAGTCTGCACTAAGTCTATTTTAGTCTCCACTGAGTCTTGAAAAGACAGACAGACGCACATTGCCACACAAAGCACCTCAGCTAAAACATTTATATTATTGGCAGCATTATATTTCCTAAAAATATTTAGTTTAAATGATTGCATCTGAAATTTTTTTGCACTAGACAAGAATTGGAGAATGCAGTCTGCACTGCATGTAAAACTCCAGATAGATTTCCCTGTGGGAGTGGCTCTGAAACTGTTCTTAATACTGAAAGTGAGCAGCTTTCAACCCAGGTTGTTTTTTGTTCTCTGGCTACCTTGGCCTTGAAAAGTATAAAAAAGGGAAATGTAAATGTTGTTCTCAGCTCACTGAGTGTGGGTTGTTCTTATGTTTGTTTGTGCTTACTGTTTGCACAGTTAATTATTGTCATTGATTTGGTTGATTGTCTGAAAGCCCGGGTCAATACCGTGCTGCAGGACACATCACATAAGATTATGTGCTCTAGCACATTAACAAGGATATTGCAAGTTGGTATTTGTGTGTGTGTGTGTTTTTGTGCCCAGTGTGTCTGGTTAGAGGGCAGCCTGGTGAATTAGTATGAGTGAAAGTGTCAGCCAATAATTTCAGATGTAATGAACAGGGAGAGAAGCCAATGATGAGAAATCCTTTATTCATAAACAAAAGAGAAGATGAGATGGAACAACCTGTTTTGAATGATAAAAAGGCTAAAATATCCAAACCTCGACCACTGGTAATCCAACGTGTAATAATCGTCAGCCACTTTAAATTCAATGGAGCATGAATCATTGTAGATGTAAATAAATTGAATAAACTTTATTTAATGGGAACATAAGCTAATAATGATTTTTTTTTTTTAAATACAAGGCTTTGGCAATGCAGGAAAGAGAGGGCACAATTTCTAATGTTATAACTCTGGATTTCCAGCTCTCTCTTCATCTAATATGCATTCATATGCCACCCACACTTTATACAGTGTGGGTAGGAAAATAGTTTTCAGGTGAAATATTTGCTGTGTGAAAAGCATAAAATAACATACTAGCGTTTTGGAACCTAGACAGGCCTCCTAAAATGTACAAAGTGTAATAGCGTGCAGAGCCTGAAGTGGCTCACGGTTCAGTACATATTGTTGTAGTACAAAGTTGTTCGATGGCTTCTTGGATCCTGGTTTTCTTGAAATAACTGTAAAAATCTGCCAGAGTGAAGACAATTACATGTGTAAAATCACACTTATCTTGCTGCTGCAGTTTTCTGCAAGTTGCCTGAGATTATAACAAATGGAGTTTTTCTAAAATGTCCAAGTTAAAGAAACTTCCTTATCTTAGTTAAACACAATTCCATTATTTATAATTTAACAACTTGGGTATTTTTTTGTTGTTCTGATCACAATCTATATTGGTTATGATGAGATTGTTAAAAAAAAGTATTGCTGGAAACAGTTACCTTTGAGGGCAAGAAACAATATATATATATATAAATAGATAGAGAGATAGATTATATCAGACCTAAAATAACAATGTTACCGGTTGGTAATGGGCAAGGTGTAAACACAGCATTTACTTTTTTCAATTTTAGGTAACAATACAAAGCAACATTATTTTTTATTTTGAGTAGTGTTTATGTCCACATGATGATTATTCAGAACATATAGGCCATGACTTTCTGTCACCTAATCCTGAGGGTAATATCTCCACTATGTTTACTTTCTTTGTCTGCTTACTGTTGGTTCTGGGTAAGTAAAGACAGCGACTTAGACCTGGTAAAGGGTCTGTGTCAGAATGACAAATTCTAGAATAAAATATTTAATTTGTATTTAATGTCATTCATTTCCTGCTAAATTAAACTAGTTGAGTATTTTTTTTGGTTATATCTTCTCCAGTGCAGACATGCAACATATTATGGCTTCCATCACCTGACTGCACATGGGGGCGGATCAGCAGCCTCTTAATAATCAGCCAGTCCTTAAAAGAGATTACGCACGCACGCACGCGCACGCGCACGCACGCACACTGTGCACACACAATGCAGCGGAGAGATAAGAGTTGAGGGAAAAGGCATCACTTACACAGGTAAAGCGATGAAAGAGAGAAAAAAGGCGTTAAAGGACCGGGAAGAGGGGTGCAGAGGAGGAGATAGGATGAGAGCAGACTTGAAGGAAAGAGGAGAGAAGGAAGAGAGTTTAAACCCAAGGATAACATGAAGAGATGTGATAAAAGAGTAAAGTGTTCTATGAGAGCAGCAGAGGAGATAAAAAAGAGGTGGAAAGAAAAAGCCAGAGTGGATTTGGGTTAAGTGCTATCTCTGTGAACAGACAGTTCTCGTACCGAAGAGACGCAGGACTCATCTAACGATGTGTGCTGCAGCATCAGATAGGCACTAAATACACACTCTTACACACTTACACACACTTCCCCCATCCCCTTCATGTACAGTACGATCTTGTGGTGACGGAGCAAGCACACAGTTGTCATCTGTAAATCCTACGTATTAGTGAATCTACTGGAGCCTGAATACTCACTATGGAGCCAGTATTGGGTTAATCTGTAGAGAGGCAAACAGGGAAGTACAAAGAAACAGAAGAACAGAAAAGAGGAGAGACAGGAAGAAACAAAAGAAAGGAACTACAATGTTGTAAACAGGAGACAATAGGAAACAGTGAAAGGACGAAATGGATGAGGAGATGAGAAAGATTCTAGTAAGGAGTGGAGAGAGAAGTTAGAGTTAGGGGTTAGAGAGGATGGGAAATATTCAATAGCAATGAAAAGGGAAATTGACAAAAGCCAGAAATCTCAGACAAGACAAAGAAAAGACATGAGGCGAAACAGAGCAACAAAGACAGTTGAATGAAGAGACTGTTGAGTAAAGAAAGAGGAATAATTAAGGAAATGGCAAGAAGAACAAGAGAGTTAATTGTAAGCGAGAGTAACAGGACAAAAAGAAGCCAACATCGAGCAGGACGGCGAGCCAAATCAGAAGATGGGGATGGAAGTTGAAACAGCAAGGAACCAGGGGAGGGATGGGGAGAGGAGATGAAGTGAAGCAGAGGATTGGATAGCATTTGCTCACTGTATCCAGAAATCCCTGCTAGTTTTCACTGCTGCTAATCCTGGAAGAGTCATCCCTTCTCAAACTGGGGGCGTCAAGCTGTGCCTGTAGCGCTCAAACCAACTTAATTTCACTTCATACTGGGCCTGCAGTCAAAAGGTTTTTCTTGTTCACACTCCATGAAGAGTGAGGAGATTAGAAGTTCCTACTTCAAATTATACCCTATTTGTTTGAGCGTCTTTGAATAAAGGTTCAGCTGCAGTGAAAACATGATAAATGTTTTGATGGGTTTGATGGATGGATTATTCTGGCGCTGGGGATTTTGTAATGGCTTCATTGAGGCTTCACTGACTCTGAGACTATTTACTGGAGCTAAAATGTGTTGCTAAGCAGTTCCCACCAAAGTCCTGCCAAATGGCTGGACTTGCACTCATTACCTGGCATTAACTTCTGCATGGAGCTGTGGGGGGCTTGCTGCTTCCAGCCGTGTGACTCTTTGAGATAAACGGCTCTGGTTTGCATGATATATTGTTGCACCATTCATAGCTTTAAACTCTGTTAGTTTAGGGTGGAGAGTTTAAGCCATCTTTCCAGGGAGTCTACAATCTTGAGGATGTCTATTAGGTTTCATAATCACGGTGCCTAGATTCAGGTAGAGTGTGTGAGTATGGCTGTATGGTGGTAAACAAGATCAGATGTGGACGTTTTGTAAAGGGTAATTCATATCAGAGACCCTCATGTTCTGTCAGCATCTGCAGCCGTTGGAGCTATTATGTCCATATTCATTAATTATTGTCGCTGTCATTGGAATAGCCTCCAACTCATAGACCTTGACATGCAATCACAGAATAAAAGAGAGTCATAGTTGGCTTATTCCTTTTTTACACACAATTTCTATATTCCGTGTGGGTGTGTGCGTGTTCATTGGTATGCAAAACAAAGATGAAAGTATTCAAAGCAATTTTCCCTCTGTTATTAGTACCCTTTCTGCAAACTCAATTCAACTAAACACACTAAATGATACCAGAGTAATAATCTACCAGCCGGCCCTATCCCAGACTTAAATTATTCATAGATCCGTATTGTGTGGTGTAATTATACCGTTTCATCCTATGCATTTTGAGTATTTGATAGGTGGCGAGGTGTGATTGCTTAAGAAAGGGAGCAAGCAAAATGTAAAACTGTGAAGTGCTGCACCGTGTCTCTGCAAGATGATCAAACAGCATCACAAAATGTTCAAGAAGTTGTCCTTGTTTGACAACTTGAGACTGGATTCTGTTCTCTTGGCTTCTTTAAATGTTGGCACTTCACATTAATGTGTGAGATAATGCCATGACTAAAGCATCAAGGATGTTTGGAAGGAAAGTTATGGTTAAAATAAGGATTTTCTCTTTACCCTTGATAATTGATTATACAGTAGGAGGGGAAAAAGGTTTAATAAGTTATATAAATACTACATTAGAAACATAGTAGAATATTAATATACTAAAAGTAAACTAAATCGTATTTTTTACCCATTTCACCAGATTCATTTTGTCCGAGGTTTCTTCTCAAGAATCTAAAATCACATTTATCACTCAACTAACAAACTGGCTTTCTAATGGACCAACTCAAACAAGTCTCCTTACAAAATAACAATAATTACGAAAATGCTGTGCTTCCTAATTATGGCCTGATTGGGATTTTCCGTTGAGAAAGATGGAAGTCTGTTCTCATCAGCGAGTGAAAATCATGCACAGGTTTGTCAAAATCATATCACCAATATCTCCTCTGCACAGTTTCTTCATAATGGCTGATGTTCAGTCTTTACATTGTGAGCACTCTACAAACATTCATCACATGCCATTTATTGGAAAATCCGCCGCCTTTTTTGTAGGTTTGCCAACGTGAGTCAGTTATTCCATGTATTGTAGGTCTAGATTAGATTGCTGCAAAATGAGCTCTTTAGACATCCAGAAATAAAAACGACAACAAAACATTGTAGTGCGAAATTTCAGTAAGAAATAAGTATGAATGAGCACTCAATGATTACAAACAAATAAGGAATTATTTCAAACCTATTCAGCTTATTATTCTTTGACAAAGCAAAAAGAGAATCAAATTATTATCTTGTTCCTATCTTTGAAATGATTTGAAGAGTGCCCACAGGTAAAGTTTACAGTACATTGCCAGTGTCATCAGATTTATGGATGACTGTTGACTCACTTATAGAAACTTTGTAGACATAGAAATAAAAAATAAGTTGTTTATGGTAAATACTTGGTAGTAAACTTACATAGACAACAAAATGGGGAAATGGTGATAGGTGCCGCAGACATAATGCTTATGTCAGCGATTTTTGTTTTCATCTGAGGTGACTATGTAGTAAAATATTTTTCTGTTGCTGCTCTCTCTGAATCTCTTCAGTTACCTGTCTCTCGGCCGTAGATTAAAAACAGAGAAATTCTCTTCTTCGATGACTGTAAACCAATCCATGATACTGATATTTCTCCACAATATCGTATGGATCACACTCTTGAGAGTTGTTACAGGCAAAAACTGCTTTTCATTTATTTTCTTCTAGTCATTTGTTGTGACTGAAATATAAATCATCCCTCCTTGCATCGGTTGTCTTTGCAATGTATCTTGAGAAGAGAATTTGACTGGAAATATGTTTTCTAAACCTGTGCCTCTTAAAACCTTTTTCATGCTGTTTTGAGTTGAAGCTGAGCTGTATGCCATGCTGACCTGCTGCTTCCCTGATGGCTCCCACAGGATTGTTGACATCCTCGTGGATTCATCTTCTTATTATAGACACATGCATTTCCAAACATTCGGTCTACCTACGCTGTAAAATGTATTATCTATTCAATTTACACACAGCATCTATTGCACGTCTGTCCGTCCTGGGAGAGGGATCCCTCCTCTGTTGCTCTCCCTGAGGTTTCTCCCATTTTTCCCTTTAAATTGTGGGTTTTCTCCCGAAGTTTTTTCTTGTACGATGTGAGGGTCTAAGGACAGAGGGTGTCGTTTTCTCATACTGATATTCTGAACAATCTGTGCTGTTGTATTTACTGTATAGTGTCCTTACTGTAAGGTAATTATTATATGTACAGCACTTTGGCTCGACTAAAGATCGTTTTAAAAATCTGCTAGATAAATATAACCTGATTTAATTTGATTTGATTTATGTGTTTTTCCCATGGATACTGGAATTTCAAAATTGAAATTCACTCAGCCCTCTCTCCGTCTTTCTGTCTAACCATTTATCTATTTCCCCTTTTAGCCGTGTAAGAGTTTTGGCTTTCTGGGGTGAATCTCTTGGTCTCTGTGTTGTTTCTGGGTTTAACCACTAACTTAATGACAATAAGACAAGATGACTTGTGGCTAGGAACTTTTTGATAATTAACATTTTCATTCATTAACATATTTTGGATTTTTACAATATTTCCCTAACTTTGTTGAACTTGATATCATTGTGGTTAATTGTTTTTCAGTTCCAGTTCCGAAAAGACTGCGTTTCAAAGTGCTGAGCTCAAGTAAACTTCTTGTGGCATGGAAGGAGCCAAAAGGAGACTTTGACAGCTATCTATTCCTCTACAAGAGCACACCAGGTGACACACACACACACACACACACACACACACACACACACACACACACACACACACACACACACACACAACACACACACACACACACACACACACACACACACACACACACACACACACACACACACACACACCACACACACACACACCACACACACACACACACACACACACACCACACCACACACACACACACACACACACACACACTCTATGCCAAAGATAATTGGGACTTAACATTGACAATTTGGGGGGAAGGGTCCCATTATGACTTGGATTTTCTGTCTCCAGGAAGGATTATGTAATTTACTTCTTATCAAAGCTCCTTTGAAGGGATCACTCCTGAGCGATGTGCAGGACTTAAAGTTTGTCGTGCACCTATGCCGAGCTTGAGACAGAGCAATGTTTTGGTCCATCCCTAAAGCCTGTCAGCACATTTAGCTAAGTACACTGGAAATAAATACTGAGTTATGATGGAGTAGCATTTGGGAAACTGCATTATTACTGTATGGAGTTGCAGGCATGATTGTTATCTGACTTCCTGCTTTTATCCTGCATCTGTCAGCAGATGATCAGTGTACAGACACAATCCGTCCGTGACCTTGTAATCAATCTAATTACACCATATTTCCTTATACTTTTTGTTAATATTAATGCTGTGCTGAACACGGCACAAGATACTTTTGCAGCATATGTAAAAATGAATAAGTAAGGACTGAATAAGCACTCTGTATCATAAAACTTCATTCTCGCAAACAACCCTTTGCGAGAAACACCTCGTCTGACAATTTATTGCTGCATTTTACAGCCGAAAAGAGAACAAAAACTGAAATGTATGGCCATTTCCTCTCAGGGAGGAGTGCAGCAATAGCTCAATGGCATTCAGCAAATGCAATAAAACAAATTGGACACAGTCACAACATCCTCCCTGTATCCATACACTATGTGGATAATAGTCTTCTATGATAATAAGGTGGACACAAATACCTGTCCTGCATCCATGATGTCTGTCTTAGTTTTTTTGGGTCAGTTGAGGTGAACAACAAACAAAGTCCTTTTGTTAAAAACAAAATGTCATTTTAGATCAATATATACATTTTCTCCATTGATTTTCTCTAAAAAGGAGACATGTAAGTGCAACTGGATAAGAATTTAGGTTGTAGGTCCAAGCAGATGAGTCATGTTTCCAAAGAAAAATTAGTAGCATGTTTTTTCTGGATATTTATACAAAAACATTGTCTCATGTAAACCCCCCACCCGATTATTAGGTTGTATCTTTGAGCATACTGTACCAAAGTCTTATTGCATCAATGTGTTTTACTTAGTCTGAGTTTCTCTGTCCAGTGGATTTAATCTGTATTATTTGACAGTGCATGACGTGTACTGAAATAAGCACTGATTTGAAGTCTGTTAAAAAAAAGCCTGCCAAAAATGTGTTATGATATTCAAATAGTATGGGTTTTGTCTGTGTGTACTTGCATATTTGTGTGTTTATCAGGGCCAGATGTCTATATTTACTTTCAAATCTCAGAGGACATAAAGCAAAAGTCAGCAGATAAAAGTTTAGTTTTTATTGCTGCATCTGTTTTAGAGGAATAATTTAGGTCCAGGTTTTAAAATAGGATTAGGTATTAATGGCAGCAGTGCAGATTGCAGAATAATGTTCAGATTTATTTAACAGGCAGCAGATCCATATATCTGGATGAAACATTTTAACCGCATTGTTTTAGGTCGGTTCTTTGGCTAACTATCACATTAATAATTCTGTGTGAACTGTGAAGTAGTAATTTTTCTATCAATTCAAAAGTAAAATGTTTGCTGTCATCAGAGTGAAACCTTAACCAATCTCCTTCCTCATGCCTAAATCGAACCAATCAACCGACTCAGGGGACAAGTTTTATCCAATCAGAGACAGAGTAGGCGGGTCATCACTTCGTCAAAGTATGAAACAATTATTTAGCGACAAACAAGCAACGCAAAGGTGAGATTCATCATAGTCCATTTTAAGACTTTTCAGGTGGAGAATATAGTTTGAAAGATGGCGTTTGGTTTGGGAAAATGTTTGTAAGCCCCAACTCCGTTTAGGATAAACAGGTAACAGGTGCTTTTAGAGTCACTTTCCACTGCTAATGCTAGCTAACGTTCAAGTTACACGATGACAAACGCTACAGTTAAGCAGATCCCAGGAGGACAGAGATACCGCTAATTGACTACTGGGAGGATGCTTTAGGAGTATTTAAAGACTTTAAAAATAATAATTACACATTTTAAAATGTTTTACAAGGGCACATTTCATGACATGATTACATTTTGATTTTTGACCCTGAACAGAGTTTAACCCCCAGTGAGACTGACACCTGAAAATACTCACGTGCACCAAACCATCATATTAAGACCGGTTTATTTGAACTGAGCTCGAGCTCTCCGATACCTTCATTTTCGATTAAACATTCATGTTAAGCATATTGTAATGCACTTCAAGCCAACTTTAAAAAAAACTATTTATTCTAGTTCAAAATGAGTGTGACAATAATTTAAAAACCTAGTCAAGCGTCAGTTGTTTGCCACTACCTAATTAAACTTAATATGGAAAGAAGATGTTTTTTATGGGTTTTACTTTTCCACAATTGAGTCATCGTCCCACAGACCGCAAGCTGTTTTAAATATCATGAAAACGAAACACTTAGGAAATGTTGTTTGAACTTAAACATGTTTTAAGACTTTTTACTCATTTAAAAAAAGTTGTTCAAGGTTCTTGTCAGGCGTTTCATGATAATATCAATGCCATTGTTTTTGTCTATGCACTTAGTATATTCCCATGGCCTGGAGTTTAGGTTAGCATAAAAACAGGGTAAAAAGCTAGCCTGATCTTCCCAAAGTTCACCTCTAAATGGGAATATGCCGTTTTATGGGGAGTCTATTGCTATACATACTTCTTGGCCTGGCACATTGACTTCCCAGCATGTTGCCATCAGTGCAAGTTTGTCAGGCAACCAGTGGAGATGCTGTATGTGAAGTGCTGAACTAATAGCCATTTTAACATTTCTCTTTGGGTACGTTTAATAAGCTTAGTAGTTAAGCTTTTGTTGAGCTTTACTACCTATGCAATCATTGTTTATGTTATCCACTACACCTGTGCCTTTATGGCTATGACGAGCCAAAAACGCCCACAATGAAACAGGAATACATCCACCTAATAAATCAAGTGATAAAAGAGAGTTAGGAAAGGAAAAGGTTTTAAAGTGGGGCCCTAAGAAACCTGAGACAAGTACTCTCAGTGTACTGCTGTCATATGGTGACCCCGGGAATGCCTGCCCTTCACTTTAAGTGCAGCAATTTGGTTGATTGACAGCAGTTATGTTCCCCAGCACTGACTAAGGTTCCGGTATGTGGTGTGAACAATGATCCATGCCGTTACCTCACCTGACTTGCTGCCCCCTTCAGCAGGATTGATCTCTCTGCCCCTAAAGGCATCATTAGTCATCACTCTGCAGGCACACGTGACAGAAGAGCTGAGAAAGCACGCACAACTTTATTGATGGCAGCATTGATTGCAGGGTCAAAATTAAAATGGGATGATAATGTCAACTGTTGGCCTGATGGGGATTTACTGCTAAGGAGAGTACGCAGGCAGGCACACACGCACACAAACACACACTTTCACAAATTGGGTTTCTTTGGGAGGATCCACAATTTATTTCGAGGAACATATTGTATTTTTCTAACTTAAAAAGCCTACATTAACCTTTAATCTCTAAGTTTGACTAGAGGTCGTAGAAATAACAACATCATCAAAACCAAATTACTTTGGACCACGACATTTCTCAGCTTTGGAGTTTTTTTAAAGATGGATAGATGCTCTTCACAAAGACATGTACTCCCACACACATCTATGATAACATGATTTGACTTTGAACATAATGTTTACCTACTTTCAGAATAAGGACAGTCTATCAGCTCTCCTGCCTAATGTACTTGATTTTTCTCAGCAATTATAATATTAATATTTTGCTTCTAAGCAACTGATCAAGCAACAAGAAAAACAAATCTAATATCCATAATCTTCTATTTGCCCCTCTTCTCTTTCTCTGTCAGGTGGTGAGCAGAAGGAGATCATACTATCTAAATCAGACACTAAAGTGCTGATAACAGACTACAGCTCCTCTCAGGACTACACTGTCAGTGTGATCAGTGTCAGAGGCAGTGAGCAGAGCATACCGCTTCAGAGCAGATTTAAAGGTGTGTTCATTTGTCTTTTCTTTCTTCTATTGTATTATATCGCTGCAGTTTGTATCTTCCCTATACTCTGTTCCTTTCTAATGTTTTAAAGTTTCCTTCTGGGATTATCCCAATTACCTTATTTTGCAATATTGTTTCCCTCACTTTCATCTAATCTTCACGTCTGAGTCCCATACTTGTAAGACACGAGGGATAGATGCGATGACAGATAAATCCTCAATTTGGAAATGTTACATCCTTCTTTGCTGAAGTGTCACTTTTAAACACAGTCCTTTAAGTATGAGGTCTACATAGGCTTCTCTTGTTTATCCCCACTTCCCTCCCATCTGTTAGCCTCCTCTCTCCTCTATCCTCAACTCCTTCAAATTAATTTAAGGAACTTAAACCTCCTTCAAGATAGTCTCAATACATTTCTGGGGCAAGTGATTGAGGCAAGAGGACTCAAGGAGGGATAATAAGATGAACCTTTCCTATTTCCTCTTGTTTGCTCCTCCACTTTGTTCCGCTATCTTCTCTGTAATGTACTGAATTGAGTTATTCCCCTCTACTTTAATCTCTATGTGTATCTAAGACCCATCCTGCTCACATGTGATTCATCTGTGTTATCAGCTGCAGTGGAGAGAGGTGAGAGTGACAGAGAGGACCTCACTCAGCCTGAGAGGCTGACTGAGTCTGTCGTGCCTCCTGAGGATGCCAACGAGATCTCTGGAGGTAGGACAAACTCACACAAACACTGTTTCCAGGACAGGAGGCCATATACAGTACACATTTTCACAAAAAGTACCACTAAAATAAATTGTGCAGAGTATGAATCTGCTTAAAGAATTGTGTTGCCATAGTGATGTTTGAAAGAAGGAAAACAGCCATCAAAGTTGTTCTTCACACCAGCTCCATGGATCACAAAGCCAGAAATGTTAGTTTGCTGTTGCCTGTGTCCACTTGGATCCCACTGTGAAATGTTTTCCCCATGCAGAGTTTATGTGCAACCGGTTAAAGCAGAATCCACCTTTTAAATTCTCCGACAGACATCGCCTGGTGGTGTACTTACCCACCAAGTGAGAGAGTCCAAACCATCTATGCTTCAATGGTAAATCATTCACATTGGAAAGTCTTTAGCATATGCAGTGCTGAGCGAGGTGACTGTGAAACCTTTATATTAGGCGATGAGTGCACCACAACGTTAACTTGTGTCTGTGCGGTTGCATGTTAATTTGAGCTCTCCTCCTCTACTGACTGTCTGGCTTTCTGTCTGTTTGCTACTGAAACCAAGATGTTCTTTCAGTTGGCAGCATGTCTTCATATTTAAGTGCCTAATATTTCATCCTCTGCTGAAATGCGAGAGAAGAGAGGAATGCATTCATTTTCATCTTTAGTTTGCTTGCATAGCAACGGCCCTCTGTTGATATCTTTACCATGACGGAGCGTCCACACAGCAGCGTGCGTTGGCGCTTGGAGGTGGGCGTATCTGAAGCTTGGGGATTTTATGCGAGCAACGCGACCAACAACCAATCACATGAATCTCCCGCCCCCGACATACAAAGCAATAGCAAAGTTAAAACGAAGTAAACTGGATATAAAATCCCCAAACAGGCGAAAACCTACCAGTTTCACCCACTGTCTCTGCCCCCTCCCTCCATGCCTCGCTCCTCCGGTTTGTATCCCGGTAGATGAACAGAGACTGATCATACAGCACCGGGTGATTCTCTACCGCTATAATGAATTTTCCCTCCATTTTTTTGAATATGAGGAAATGACCTGCGTAGTCTCTCCCAGCATACACGCGGTTTGATTGGCTAGTGCTTGTACTGGCAGATTTGCATAAACGGGATTTCATTGGCTGACGCCTCCGTCGAGGCGTCAAAAGTTGAACATTGCTCAACTTTTGACGCCAGCTACGCCAGCAACGCTCCATGTCGCTTCCCAAAATGCAGTTCGGCTAAAAGTGACGTCACCCCATTCAAAGTGAATGGGCAGAAGCGTTGGAAGCTTCAACGCACGCCGCTGTGTGGACGGGCCGTAACCGCCAGTTCAACTGGGAATCTCTGGCTGCAGAAGCTTTGATTTTGTGTGATATGGTTTTCTGTTTTAAGTGCTTGGTGCTTATTAGTTAAGCATTTTAGCTGGATGCTAATAACTGCATCATTTGTGTTTTTGTGTGCAGGGTGATGTTCATAGAGAAATAATAATATTCAGTATGGTGTGGTTATTGAATATGGTTTAAAGAAGTCCATCTTTAAATTGCCTCTATAAGGTGTCATCATTTCAATGGACTATAACCCTTTTATATTAGCACAATATCATTTTCTCTTGCTATTGTATACGTGCACTTTTTTTTTCTGATGGAGCAAGTGAGGGACACACACATACACACTGAAAGGGAGAGAAAGAGAATATCACTGAGCAATTAACTATGTAATAAAACTTATTTATAGACAATTTGCATCAGTGAATACATAATGAATTGGTGAAGATGAAAACAAATCGATAGTAAATCAAAGCAAATTTCCCATTGAATGCAATCTATGGTAGCATTTAAAGTGCCCTTATGCAATGGATTAACCTGCATACTGATTGAGTTGTTGAAAAGTATTGGATTTACAATTAATTATTTTCATCGCTGAATTATTTACCGGCCACTTAATTTCCCTGCATCTGCAATGGCGATAACCGTGGCCAGAGGCATTATGTTTAGGGTTCTCCTTCCCTACGTGCTTCTCTTTCTCTGTTAGTTCGTCTTCTTGTCGGCTCTTAGGAACGCCTTGAGTGAATTTCTTCACATAGCGGCACAAACATTCACATGAACTCAAGAAAGGACTGAATAAACTGGTCAAAGGTCACTACTTTTTGGCCATAACTCATCATTTACACACTCATTTTGACAATTTCACACAAATGTCCAATAGGATTAAATGTCGTAGTGATGACATTTTGGATAGAGAAATATTTACACTGCAACTTGACCTGAGGCCTGTACTACGAAGCCGGATTTTCGCTTAGCTTCAGGGAAAACTCTGGGTTTCCGGTCCTACGACGCTGGTTCACTTCTTTGCGGGCTAGATCTCCATGGTAACTTATGCTGAACGGCTAACCTGCTCTGGAGCAGGTTAAGTTCCAGGCTAAGAGCTCAACTTAGTGAAAGCACTGCCTACTGACCAATCAGAGCTCAGTGTGCGGAGTTTAAAGCGATCAAGTCATATTACAGGAGAAAGGAAAGGAAATACAGAAAAGCTGCCGTTGCAGGAAAGACGGCCGGCAAAAATCAACTGACTGTATGAACGTGAACATTAATAGAATATCACCTTCCATCTTCAGAGCACTCTGACTATTATAACATTAGCGTTAAGATTAAGTATTATTTTAAGCAACACATTAAGTTGACGAAACACTCGAGTCAAATGTAATTTCCGTGTCTTAGTGATATCATAAATCTGTTAATGTACGCATTCAAACAGTTTTTTTTTACCAGCTGTATTCACCTTGCAGGTGCAACTATGTGGCTTTTATCCTGGATAAAGTGTTTAAGTCATGGATGTTTAAAGTTTAACTTCTTCATATTTGTCTAATAATATAGTTCACTTTTCATTCAGGAAGTATGACGCTGCGCTGTCAGTACGCTTGTCAATGTTTGTGATTGGTCAAATGTTGCTAACCCCGCCCCTTTCATGTGATCGTGCACATAACTATAGGTTACTTACGTAACCCCAGTTCTCAGAGTAACATGAAGTGAGATGTCTCACTATGGGATGCGCCTCATCGCGGAGCAAACAGAAGCATCAATCTCATTACGCCAATCCTGATTGGCTGGTGATCTTGACGTCAGCGTCAGGGAAATCACCCCCTATAAGTAGCTTGCGCCACAACGCATGCGCCATTCAAAATAAGCACCTCTTCTCGCTTCACCATAGCAAGGAGGGCCGTCTGGTGAGACATCTCACTTCATGTTACTCTGAGAACTGGGGTTACGTAAGTAACCTATAGTTCTCATTCATAACACTCCGTTCGATGTCTCACTATGGGAAATTGTAGCTCCCGTATTGCCAGACGAGCTTATCTCGAAAATCACCAAACCAACCAGAACTTAACAGGTAGAGCTCTGACTCAACCAGGTGCTCAGCACTGCTTGAGTCACACTGGGAGCAGAACGTCCAGCCTGTTAGGAGGCAGACAAAAGTGAGCGGCGAGGACCAGCTCGCCGCTGCACCAATGTCTTTGATGGGAGACATCCTGGACAGAGTCCAGAATGCAGCCAGACTCTGAGTCGAAAGAGCTCGCGGACCCGAGGGTGCCTGCGAACTCTGACTCGTATGAGCCCCAAAGCAATTGCTTCCACAGACCAGTGGGAGAGCCGTTGCTTAGTAACAGGCTTGCCCTTATAAGGGTTAGCCCAGGACACAAGGGGTTGGTCATTATGACAAAGCACCCTTGATCTGTCCCTGTACGTGCGTGAAGCACGGGCTGGACACGGCAAATCCGGCCGCTGTTCCCCGGAGGAATACAGTGGCGGGGAGGATGCCTTAATGTCAAATGTGGTACCCGAACCGACCGCCTTAAGATAAAGGCAGGGTCAGGCTTCAACCACACTCTGTTTGCCCTGGGGCAAACTGAGTGCATGAAAACTGTACAGATAGTGCATGAGTGCCACTGGCTCGCTTGGCAGCTGCCAGGGTCAGCGTCATGTCACACTGTATTTAGATTGTACCACTCACGGGCCAGGCCCATAGAGCCAAGCGCTCTGGGTGTGGGTGAAAGATCGCCCCCCCCCGCTTGGGACAGTATGTCCCTGCGTAGTGGGAGCTGCCATGGCTGCCCGCACAGCAGCTGATATATCTCCGCTAGCCAGTACATAGCTGGCCAGTGCGGAGCTATCAGGATAAGTGTGTGGCGTTGCTCTCTCACTCTGGCCAGAGTTGGGGGTATCAGAGCCAGGGGTGGGAACGCGTACAGAAGGCCCGGGGGCCAATTGTGCGCGAGTGCATCCACGCCTAACGGTGCATTTAGATTGCGCATCGAAAAGAACAGCTGACACTGAGCGTTGTCTTTCGATGCGAACAGATCCATCTCTGCCGTAACGCACCCACAGCTGGCTCACAATCCTTGGATGTAGAGTCCAGTCTGCATAAAGTGGTATACCTCTGGACAGTAGATCTGCCCCGAGGTTCCTCACTCCCGGTACGTGCGTCGCTCTCAGAGAGAGGAGACGCCTACCGCTCCATAGGATAAGTTTGCGCGCCAGTGTGTGTAACTGGAGAGAACGCAAACCCCCTTGGCGGTTAATATACGATATTGTGGTCGTATTGTCTGTCCTCACGAGGACGTGATGTCCCCTGAGGAAAGGCAGAAAGCGTTTTAGGGTGAGAAACACCGCTAAAAGCTCCAGGTAATTTATGTGTGCCCGCTGGAGGTCTCTGCTCCAGAGACCCCTCACCGGGTGACCTTCATAAATACCTCCCCAACCTGTCAGACATGCGTCCGTGGTGACCACTTTCCGTGAAAGGACAGCACCCATAGGCACACCTCGTACTAGAAAAGTCGGGTGCAGCCAGTGGCGCAGTGCCATTACGCATTTCACAGTAACCATCACTCTCCGCCCGCCATGGGTTAGTTTTAGGGCGGCCACCCAGCGCTGAAACTCCCTCATGTGTAAGCGTCCCAGTCGTACGACCAGGATGGCTGACGCCATGAGCCCCAGCAATCGCAGGCATGATCTGAAG